GGTAATCTCTAAGATAGACATTAGATTAGTATAATATCTTGCGTGAGGTTTTTGCAAAAGCTCAGTTCGATTTGTCACAATCCTTAGAGCTATTTTAAGAACTTAAAATGAGGGTGTTCACTAAAGATATTCCAAAAGTTGAGCTTTCCATTCTGGAGATTGGGTTGCTAACACGTCCCAACCAAAAGATCCGAAGGTGGAAATAAGCCAAGGAGTTTGGCACAAACATGTTTGTCACCATAAGTCATTTGTAAGTTGATTAAGCCATTACATCGAAGGAGTCTATTGTGATTGATGATTGAAACGCTACGATGATTTTACCGAAGAGTTGTTGCACGGAAGTAGGCCCCACAAATGTAGGAGAGTTTCTTCGAACTGCATAAACAATTTGTTGTGACATTCTTTACTAGTTTACCTTTTTTTGTTTTATTTCAATGACACAGAAAGTGTTACAACACCCGTCAAGACATATTCTGCTGCCTCTTGTGATGTAAAATCTACATAGCACATCTACTTGTTTCATTTGTGTTGTGTGCTCTATAGATTGGTTTGTTTGTTGTGGTGGCCATTCCCCACAAAATTTCAATTAGTATTAGAGTGGTTGAGCTTACCTTTTTAGCTTAAATCGATCTTAATCATGGGCGATATGAAAGAGGGTGCCAATGTTCAATGTCCACCATTGCTTCATGGGCCAAACTAAACTTCTAGAAAGGAAGCATGAGAGTCTTTCTAAAATCTCAAGGTGGTAAGGTCTGGAGGAGTACTAAAATAGGATGGACTACGCCTACTGAAGCAAATGCAGAAGGGACACTTAGGTTGTGGTGAGAAACTATTTGACAAATACTCTAAAGAAAAAGCATATTTCGTGGAATGTAATGACAAAGCTTTAAATGCTCGGTTCCATGCAGTGGATAATTCCCAATATAGGCTCATATTTATTTGTGTGGAAGGAAAGAAAGCTTTGGCAATTTTTGAAAGTTAAAACCACTCATGAAGGAGATGAATGAGTGAAAACTACCAAATATGAAATTCTCATGACTTAGTATGAAAATCTTCGCATGAATGACAATGAAAAAATATCCGAGTTTCATGGAGAGTAAAAGAGATGGCTAATGAGGTTGAAAATTTGAGAAAACCTTTCAATGAAGATGGTCTTATTCTTAAGGTTCTCAGAGCCTTAGCTAAGAAATATGTCATGGATGCCAAAGCCATTCGTCAAGCTCAAGATGTAAATAGGATGGCCCTAAATAAACTCATGGGGAATCTAGAAACTATTGCGCTACAAATGAATGAGGAGTCCAAGAGAATAGAAGTCAAGCAAAATGCTTTTTGCAAACATGACATAGGAGATGATAGAGAAGAAGGTCTAGCATAAAATAAAGATTTCTGTTAAAGGATAGAAAACTCCCGTATACATTATTATTATGCATATGGTAGTTTCCCGGTATATGTTGATCTCCTTTCTTTTTGTAATTTTTTCCATATAGAGTTCTTTGTTTAAGAGATCCTATATATAGACAGTCTTTATTCATATTGTATCATCATAAATACAAGAGAAATTATTTCTCCCAAAACATTATTCTTTGATGGTATGGGAGCCCAAAACCTAAATTTTTTATTGGTCGATCGACACTGAGGCTTTTGCCACTCTTGTTTTTCTTCCGCTACTGCCGCTGGCATTCCACGGGCCGCTGCTGCTTCTTCATGGACCGCCACTGCCACCATGACTGAGAAGTAGTCAAAGAAGCTAGTCACGAACAGGAAGCCTGAGGAGCATGAAAACGATGATGTTGTATTGCGACGTCATCGTATCTATGATTTATCTCTAAGTAAAATTGTGGGAATGATTCTAGCCCAGGTTATTTTGAAGGGAGATAACTACTACGAGTTGTTGAAATTGCTACGCCTTGTTCTTTGAGCATGCAAGAAATTTGGATTTGTTGATGGATCGATTGGAATTCCAGATTCAGGTTTTGATGATCTAGATAGGTGGACACATCGTTCTCTTTTGGTCTCATAGATTCGGAACACTATTGATCCAACCTTGAGATCAAGCATATCATTTGTGGAAAAGGACTCTAACATGTGGAATGATCTGAACGTTCATTTCCCTATTTTTATTGGACCTAGGGTTCAACAGTAGACATGTGACTTGATAGACTGCAAACAGAAGAATCTTTCTATAATGGAATATTATGCCAAGATGAAGAAGTTGTGGGATGATTTGGCAAATCTTGAGCATCCTCCACTATGTGTGTGTAAGAATTGCACATGTGATTTCTCAGCAATGCTTGAAAAGATTCGTGAGACAAAGCATGCTCACAAATTCTTGATGGGGTTGAATGATTTGTGGTATGGGACACTATGGTCGAATCTGTTGACAGTAGAACCTATACTGAATGTTGGACGAATTTACAATATTTTGATATAGGGTGAGACATCGTAGAATTCCATGAGAGATTTGATGGAGGTGATATCGCGGCTACTACTTTTGCAGTAAAGAACAAAACCGAGGCAAAGGAACTAGTGTGTTCTCATTTTGGCTAGTCAGGTCATTAGATTGGCGTTTTCTACAAACTGCATGGGTACCCCAAAGGGTGGAATTTTCTAGATCAGAGTGGAAGAGGAAGAGAAGCGAACCATGACAAGGGCCACGGTCCAAGCCGCGGTAGTGGACGGGAAACCACCCATGGAGGCTGTGGCGGTGAACATGCCGTGTAGGGAAACACAGAGGAAAAAGGGCTCTCTTCTGCCCAGTTTTAATGATCTGACTCAGGAACAATGGAATGTTGTTTGTCATGCTCTTTGACTATCGCCATCAGACACAAATGTGACACTTTCTGTTGAATATAAGTGAGCCCTAGAGGCCAACTTATGATTCCATATCTATATTATATCAAGAACAATAGGCCCTAAAGATTGTTTAAGTCGTCTCGTGTGATTTAAACATAGCTTTAGTCCATAGAGTAGGTTCTCTAGTAACACAGATGAGAACTACGACATTCTAGTTATGAGGCTGTTACAAAGATAGAGGCTACGTCTAAAATATCCTTAGTCGAATATTATGACAATACGGACATCATAATACATCAAGACTTATACGTATGAGATGAGATAGCTACGTCTCATAGGCTATAGATAAAGTGTTATCTGAATCTATACGTAGGCAACCATATTGGATATGTTGCTGGATTGACCCGTTATGAGAATAATATATGGGTTTGAGTTAAAGTGTTAATATTATTCTCATGCGACCATTAGTATAACTATCCTTTGACTTGAAGTCATTACATTCTTTGGTAAGTTGAGTTGTATACTTTGAGGCATGATTTATGCCATCTGAAATAATGGTGGATGTACAGTTATGTTTTGGGTATGCAATGAAACTTAAGCGAAGATGTAAATGACGTAGATAGAATTTATCCCTTCTTTGATGAAGTATAATATCTTAGGGCCCACTGATTGATGTAACTTGGGAAGTGCATGGCCATGCCCAAATAAACATGTTATTTGAATCCCACAAGTCAATCGAAGAATCAGTAAACCATCGATTTAATTTTAACAAGGTGACACACCCATACCTTGTGTTAAATCAAGATATTAGTGATAAAGGGATAAGGGTTATACAAATAGGATGTGTCGTTGAAGGAATTGTTCTAAGAGCTTTAATCTATAATTTGGGGGTGATAATGTGTTGCTAGATACCGCTTATCACTTGTAGTATTTAATCGATACTATGGCCAATTTTATAGATGCCTAGAATAGGGTCACACACATAGAACATATGAAAGTGTAGAATATTTAAGTGGAGTAAAGTTGTACTTTATTTATATGTTGTGTATATTATATTGTGTGACAATATGATTAGATACACAAACACATATATAAATAAATATTTATATTTGGACATTTTAATTATGTGATAATTAAGTTTGTCAAATATATGCAATAATAATAAAGTGTATATATATGTATATATATATATGAATAATAAATTGTTTATTATTTTAGTATTATTATTAAGGCACGAAATATATATTTATATATATTTAATATTTGGACATTTTAATTATATGATAATTAAGTTTGTCAAATATTATTTAAGGAACAAAATATAACATTATTATATTTATATATGTATATGTGCGTGTATATATAATATGTATATATATATCGCTGTATATATATGTATATATACGTTTATGTATATTTTGGGTATACATAAAATAAATGTTATATTATTTATTTTCTGTTAATTATATGATAATTAAAGTTGACAAAATAAATTGGAAGCTTCCTTAAAGTGTCATTAGAAATTTCCTAAGTAGGATAGGAATGGGATTTGATTTCCTTTCTAAACTCTAAAAGGTACATTCCTATTAGGAATAGAAATGGGGATTATGCTCCTTATAAATAGGAGATCATCTCACCCCTTTTTAGACTAAGAAATTTCGGCCCTACCATGGTTTAAGAGAGAAAAATTTGTTTTGTTCTCTTAATACTTTACACCAAATATTTTATATTTTAGAAATATTCTAGAGAAATATTACTAGCATAATTTTCTCTAGAACACTCTTCATTGTTCTTGTGTCTCAACTAGAGGTCATATACTTTTGTGGCTAGCTCTTGGATCAATCCATCAACCTACACATATCGTTGCTTGCTCGCCAAGAAAGGTATATTTCTAAACAATAACTTATAATAATCAATGTCTGGACGTCAAAATTTTTATATTTCCGCTGCCCTATCCAAGCGTAGAACCCAACACTTTCAGGTATATTTGTATCACCAGGTTGGATTGTTAATACTAGTGCATCGAATCACATGGAAGGTGATCTTTCATTATTATATAATATAACACCCCAACCCGCGTCACCCGAAACCCCGAGTTAGCAAATCAGGTTGTTACGAATTTGGTATTCACATGCATAATATTCTAAAAACATTTAAAAATAAAACATCTATTCATATTTATTTAAAAACAATTCATAATTAATCGGAGTAAATAATTCTAACGTTGCGGAAGCCTTTAAAACAACATCGTCAAACATTCTTGTAGTCTAACAAAATAAAAGTCAACAAGTATTTAATTCAATTTCAAACAGCTTCGGGTCATCCACCAGCGTCACGCTTCACTGTCCTCTAGGCTGCAGCTCATCCAGTTTTTGATCCCTACCTGTGAAAATAGGGAGAGTGGAAGTATCTAACGCTAAAACTAACTCATAGACTAGCACTCATTAATATATAATCAAACAATATCAGAAGAATCGGCAAATATCATTATCCAACTGTACCACTATTAATCCATATAATTTAGTTTAGTTCTAACGCATACTTACTCCATCTGCCTGCTAGATATAATCCATTTCATACTTACGGGAGTAATGGAATCCAAGCTCTCGCCCAAACCCACACTCATAACTCCAAAGCTCTTGCAATGGAGGGGGTTGAGGCCCCCGCTGGCTCTCGCCAGGGGTCAATGACCACCGTGCGCACGTTTTTAACCCTTGAGACCACCGGATGAACGACGTCACCCGTGTGACCTTGTTTCTAATGTCGATCAGATTACTTATTTCTACTACACAACTCAACTAAGATTTGACTGGATACACTAGATGATATATTTCACAATTCTATTCAAGGTACAATTTATTACCAGTTCATTATTTTATAAATAATGGACTGAATTACGGTCAAAGTACGAAGTAGGACTAAATTGTAAACTATTTAGAGATCTTGGGGCAATTTGCACATTTTTAGAAGTAAAATTCTGTGTTCTGATTTGGGGCACTTAGATTTGCAAATCGCATCCCCCTCGCGTGTCCCATATTCCGTTCGGCGAGTAGGAACTGGCTGACCAGTATTTTCACCCTCTCTCCTCGGCCGGAAATCAGTAGCAGCGTACTCCAGCGGTGAAAACCGGCGGAGACCCGGATGAACTCCCCATCGGCGGCCAAACAAAAACAGGGTGGAAGAAGAGAAAGAACAGAGACGGCTAGACAGTTGCAGAGTTCCGATCAATAATCCAAATTCCCAAATTTTAACCAAATTCCAAATTCAACATAGCCAATCAAACCATCCAATAATCACATTCATGAATTCAACGTCAATTGAATGAAAACATATTAACGAATCCTAATCTATGAATCAATCTTAACGAGAGATAAATTACTCACCTCAATGGAATTGATGAAGAAATCACAAATAATCCCCACCTAGATTCCGGCGGAAGCTCCGGCGGAGTCCTCTTTCTCGGCGACGTCTGAGGCAGCTTGATCGACGAACTCCCTTGGTTTCGTCGCCAATGGAGAAGAAGAAGAGTCGTGATGCAGTATATACAGAGTAAATTATATACACAGTTGCATACGAATAGGCGTGGGAATAATTTATTATTGTTTAATATTATAAAATCTTTATATTTATTTATTAAACTGTAACATCAATTTTGTTTACCAAGTTGTACACGAAAGTCCAAATTTAAAAAACTATATATCGTTGGTCACCATTTTACGAGATCTACTCGAAAACCTAATTTTTAATTAAAATGGTCAACTTTACAAATAATTCATATTTTGAAGTCAATAAATAATATATTCATTTCTATTAAAATAACGACTAACCACTAAGCCGGGTTTCAGGGCGTTACATATAAAGTGGTGGGTGTATCACTGTTTAAAATTGTTTTTTGCTGATGGGAAAAGAGTTGTGTCTGTTCAATTTGGAAAGGCTTTTCTACAAAACCTATGGCTTTACAAAACATGCTTTTTGTTCAAACTTTGAGGTGTCACTTAATTTCTGTTTCACATTTAAAAAGGGAATTAAACTATGAGGCAAGATTCACCAACAACTTTTATGTATTATAAAATCTAAGTTTAAGGACAACGATTGGTGTGGGTGAACATGAAGAAGGATTATGATGTTTGAAGGAGCGAGATAAGAGCATGACATTCATTGCAAAGAAGGAGAACAACTTTGATCTTTGGCATAAATGTCTAGGACATCCTTCTTCTAATATTTTATCCTTAGTTCCCTTAGTTGGTTCAAATAAAAGTAATCATAGTCATTGTGACATTTGTTTACGTGCTAAACAAACTCGTGGAAGTTTCCCAATTAGTTTTCATCAATCTAATGATAAATTTGACAAGATACATTGTGATTTGCGGGACCATTTTAAACACCAAATTTTGATGGTTGTACGATGTTCTTAAGTATTGTGGATGATTTTTCTAGAGGCATTTGGGTTTATTTCCTTGATTCTAAAAGTGAAGTTTTTGCAAAAGCTCAGTTTGATTTGTCACAATCCTTAGAGCTATTTTGTGAACTTACAACGAGTGTGTTCACTAAAGATATTCCAGAAGTTGAGCTTTCCATTCTAGAGATTGGGTTGCTAACACGTACCTACCAAGAAGATCCGAAGTTGGAACCAGCCAAGGAGTTTGGCGCAAACGTGTTTGTCTCTATAAAGTGTTACAGCACCCCTCAAGACATACTCTGCTGCATCTTGTGCTGTAACATCATCTGTATATGACAAACTGTGTATAGCGATAAGTCAACAAATAACCAAGTTGGACTCGGGTTGTTCTCTCTAGGAGTGACGAAAGGAATAATCAGTTTTATTATTTATCAGAGGCTAATCGGTGCACCCAGGCATGACATCAATGCCATGCGGCTCTACTCAGAAAGGCCAAGTACGAGCAGGCCCTGGCAACACTTCCTCGCCCACCTCCACCGCCTAGGACCGGTCTAAGTAGCAAGAGGCCTCCCTACGTACCGAGCAGTTTGCACCCAGGCAAGAAGGCCAAGTTGGCCCCTGCCCCTTCATTAGCACCCACACAGAAGAGTGGTAAGGGCCAAGGCGGATATCGTTACCCAATCTGCACCCTTTGCAGGTGAAGGCACCATGGGGAGTGTTGGTTTACTTAGGGTCTATGCCTTGGGTGTGGACAAGCCAAGCACTTCTGTAGGGATTGCCCAGCTCGCATAGAGCTAGAAGTCAGTAGCCGCGTCCAGCCAACCCAAATAGCCGCCACTGAGCGCTCAGTCTGGAAGGCTCCACCCCGCATATACGCGATGCATGGACATACTGAGTAGCCCGCCCATGACATGATTATGGGTATGTTCACACTGTTTGGTACTTCTATATCTTCTTTGATTGACCCAGATTCTACTTTGTCTTATTTGTGTATGTCTATGCCTGTTTTGTCGAATATTCCGAGAGAGAACCTGGAGAATCCCGTGATTGTGTCCAGTTCATTAGGAAACAGTCTACATCTCAGCCATATTTATTCCAATTCCCCGTTAGTCGTGCAAGGGAAGAGTTTCCCTGTAAATCTGATTCAGCTTCCACATCGAGAATTTGACTTCATATTGGGCATGGATTGGCTCACTCCCAACCAAGATGTGGTTGATTGTGGTGAACACATAGTGCGGCTGAAAGCCAAAGATGGTAGCGAGGTACTTATCCATGGCGAGCTACTCCTAAAAGCTCTTAAATTCATCTCTTACATGCAGGCTCGTCGACTCATACGCTCGAGGAACCACGGAGGGAGGGAATCCCTACGGTGTGCGACTTTCTGGATAGTTTTCCAAACAAGTTTCCAGGTCTACAACCCCCAAGGGAGGTAGAGTTCTCGATTGATTTGGTTCCACGAACGGGACCCATCTTTATCACACCCTATCGCATGTCCCCTGCGGAGATGAAGGAGCTGAAAGCTCAACTGCAGGAGCTCTTGGATAAGGGCTTCATACGTCCTAGTGTGTCCCCTTGGGGCGCACCAGTTCTATTCGTACGCAAGAAGGACGAGTCAATGAGGCAGTGTATCGATTACTGCCAGTTGAACATGGTCCCCATCAAGAATCGTTACCCTTCTACTCGCATCGACGATTTTCTTTGTCCAGTTGAGAGGAGCCACGGTCTTCTCTAAGATTGATCTGCGATCAGGGTACCATCAGATTCCCGTCAAGAAGGAGGATATTCCTAAGACAGCATTTCACACTCGGTATGGTAACTACGAGTTCACGGTGATGCCTTTTGGTTTGACTAATGCACCAGAAGTCTTCTTGGATATGATGAATAGTGTGTTCCATAAGTACCTAGATCAGTTCGTGTTTGTTTTCATCGATGACATCTTGGTGTACTCCAAGACGCGTGAGGAGCACGCGGAAAATCTGTGCATAGTACTTAGCTTTCTCTGGGAACATCGACTTTATGCCAAATTTTCCAAGTGCGAGTTCTGGTTGCACGAGGTAACCTTCCTTAGCCACGTCATCTTGGCTGAAGGAGTGAAGGTGGACCTGTGTAAGATTTCGGCAATCACGAAATGGAAGACTCCGCGTAATGCATGAGAGGTGAGGAGTTTTCTCGATTGGCAGGATACTACCGCCGATTCGTGAAAGACTTCTCGAAGATAGCTTCGCCTTTGAACAAGTTGATGAAGTAGGAGGTGACGTTTGAGCGGACCGGCGCTTGTCAATAAAGCTTCGAGCAGCTGAAGCAGTTCTTGACCCAGGCACTTGTGCTAGTACAGCTGACTTCGGGTGTGGAGTACATGGTTTATAGTGATGCCTGTCATAATTTCCTAGGTTGTGTTCTCGTGCAGGAGGGTAAGGTTGTAGCGTATGCCTATCGGCAGTTGAAGTCGCATGAGAGTAACTACCCCACACATGACCTAGAGTTGGCGGTGATTGTTCTCGCTCTAAAGATTTGGAGGCATTATTTTTACGGCGAGATGACACGCATTTTCACCGACCATAAGAGTCTATAGTATCTTCTGAGTTAGAAGGATCTGAACCTAAAAAAAAGGAGATGGTTGAAGTTAATTAAGGACTACGACTATAACATCGCTTACCACCTAGGTAAGGCAAATGTGGTGGCCGATGCCCTTGGTCGTAAGGCCATAGCTGTACTCCGAGTTGGGCTGACATTATTCTTGGAGATTATGACAACACAACACGGAGACGAATTCTTCAAGCAGACTAGCGAGCTCGCCTCTCGAGGCGAGAATCCTGACTTCTCCGTATGAGAGGATGACGCCTTGTTCTATCAGGGTTGTGTGGTGGTGTCGGGAACGCCTCCTTCGTGAAGCACACGGGACTGTATACACCATGCACCCTGGTAGTAATAAGATGTTCCAGGATCTCCAGAAATATTATTGGTGGCCCGCAATGAAAAGAGAGATCACGAAGTTTACAGCTCGATGCTTGACATGCCAGTAGGTTAAGGCTGAGCATTAGGTTCTGACCAAACTACTTCAGCATATTACCATCCACGAGTTGAAGTGCGATCGTATCACCATGGACTTCATAGTGTGGCTGCCTTTGTCACTTTGTAAGAACGATAAAGTTTGGGTCATTGTGGACCGATTGACTAAGTCCGCACATTTCCTTTTGATACGACTGGATTTCTCCTTACATCGACAGGCAGAACTATACATCCGTGAGATCATTCGTTTACATGGAGTCCCTTCATCTATCATCTTGGATGGCCACCCGCATTTCACATCTCAATTTTGGAAGAGCCTACAGAAAGCTCTGGGCTCTGATCCTCATTTAAGTACGGCCTTTTACCCACAGGCGGATGGTCAGTCCGAGAGAGTTATCCAGATCCTTGAGGGTATGATGCATGCCTGTGCGATCGACTTCGGGGATGGCTGGGAGTGTTATCTACCGTTGATGGAGTTTGCGTACAATAATAGCTACCAGGCTAGTATCAGTATGGCTCTGTACGAGGTTCTATACGGTAGGCCATGTTGGACTCCTACTTGCTGGACAGAGTTTAGCGAGAGGAAGTTGGTAGGACCCGATCTAGTTCGTGAGACCGAGGAGAAGGTCCGAGTGATTTAGGACTGACTTCAGGTGGCTTCAGACTGGCAGAAGTCCCACGCAGATCTTAAGTGGTGCGACATCGAGTACGCCGTTGGGGAAAAATTCTTCTTTAAGGTCTCCGCTTGGAAGAAGGTCCTATGCTTTGGTAAGAAGGGGAAACTAAATCCGAGGTTTGGGCCCATACCCTATCACTGAACGTGTGGGACCTGTAGCCTACAGGCTTGAGCTACCACCTGAGCTCAGTAAGATCCACAATGTGTTCCACGTGTCAATGCTCCGAAGATATCGGTCAGATCCCTCTCATTGATCCCAGCAGATACAGTCACTCTTGATGAGAATATTACGTACGAGGAGGAGCCGGTTGAGATTCTGGCTCGCGAGATCCGGCAGTTACAGAATAAAACCATTCCTTTGGTCAAAGTGCTTTGGAGAAGTCACTCCATTGAGGAGGCGACTTGGGAAGCCGAAGAATCTATGCATCATACCCATTACCCACATCTC